AAATATTTTAGATATTTGATTAGTACGCACACGGTACAACACAAGATATCATCAAAATATCAATCACATCAATCAAAAAGTGTAATGAGAAGGGTATTGATGTTATTTATAGTTATGTTTTGTTTAATTAGGAATACAAAAGAAGCAGATAGAACATTAATAAAAATATTATAATAAATAAACATGGCTGTTTAAGAAGAATAACATCTAACTGGCATTAGTTTGATAGAAAGACTAGAAGAATAAATTGGAAAAACAACATCGATTGTACGATTAGACCACATAATATTCAGGTAGTCTTCTTAACTTGTATGAGTGATTTAAGTTCGTATCACTTTAATGTTATGTAAATTATTTATTTAAAATTTAAAAGAATTTATTTCTTTTTTGAGAATACAAAAGGTGCTTTGGGAAAACCAATAAATGTCTAGTAATAAGTAAACATATTGATTGAAAAACGTTAATAACTTTTTGGATAAGAGGATATGAAACGGTAGTAAATGTAATAAATATTTTGTTAAGTATTCAAGTAAGAAAAGTCATGATGATATTATAATATATTGCCTGGATTGTGAATAATGGTTTAGGGTTTAGCGTATTGATGTTATCACATAACAAAATCAAATTTAATTTGGTTGATAAAAAAATGATTTATCTTAACATGTTACTCGAGATTGTAAACAAATTTATTGTAACAGAATAAATTAATTATATTAAGAGATGATAATTGTTAGATTATACAAGTTTTAGAGTAAATATAACTTCTATATATGTACAGAGTTGTATTAACATAAAATTAATAATTGTACCTTTGTAATTATTAACATCAATTAATATTATGAAGATTAATTATTTGAACTTAAAATTTATATTGAGTTCATTTTCACGTTTAACATTGACTGGTAATTTTTTTTCTCACAGTATTGGATTCTTTCCCGTCAAGATGATTTATCTATATAATGTACTTTTATAATTATTATTAGTACTCATCCAATGTGTGAAGATGGAAGAATTAAATCAAAACTAAGGTGTTATCATGGAGCACAATTTTCAATTAATTAATGAGTACACTAAAATCAAGATAAAATTGAATATAGAGAATAAAACTTTGATTATAAAAGAAATAAGTACATCACTTTTTCATAATGTGAAGTGGGTTTGGACGATATAGTCTTTATTTTCTATTTTTCTTATAGTTGTTCAGTTCGTTTAGTGCATATGCATACTCTCTTTTGTTTATGTTATAAATAATATCCATGGTAGATTTCATGATTTTTAACATCTGGTCAATAACTTCTCTGAATTTGTCTCGTGCAATATGTAGATCATCCAGATTATTCTCAACTTTTTTGAAAATCTCCCTCAATTCCGGCATTCCCTAAAAAATGTTTAAAACAATCGCAGAAACAATATACAATCAAATTTTATAAATATATGGAAACGGTAACATGAATGTATAAATATAATTATGAGATGAATTCTCGACATATCAAAAAAAAAAAAAAAAAAATTAATGGCTTTATATTGTGGCAAATATATATGATTGTTTTGTTTGTGATTTTGTAATATAGCATACAAAAGATGTGCAATATTTATACCTTCTAGTTGCTTCGATGGAGAATTATTGTTGTTGAGGTCATTGCTGGAATTCATTACAGATTCTTTTGCTTGTGATGTTCTGTCAGCCATTTTTGAATTAAGTTTTGGAGAAGAAATGAACAGTTAAAGTGTATAGTATCTTAAGAAAGTTAAATGGGTGATTGATGTCAGAGCAATATTTATAGGAGAATAGGATACGAAAAGGTGGAATATGAGCAGATAACTGGTACTAAATAAACGCGTTGATCGAAAAAGTGTTAATAATTATTTGGATAAGGTACTACGAAATGTTAGTAGACTATCCGTACAATATTAAAGAAAACCGTAATAAATATTTTGTTAAGTATGTAGCATATTTGTTAGGTAGTTAATAATGGTTTGGCAAGATGTTGAGTTATTATGTAAACAAACAATGTGATCTAAGTCAGAGATGATACGACGATGTCACGATATATTTTTAAATTTTTTAATTGTGGTTCGGTAATATGGTTATGAAACATGCTTATAGTTCGACTTTGATCTTGTTTGATCAATAATGGTACAAAAGTTTTTTTAAATGTGTAATAGAAATGATTATTTCTATTTTTTTTAATTAAGATTATAATGTATTTGGATTGATGTTTATTATTAATAGGAGTCAGTATTGTTATCTGAATCTGGTTTTGAGAATACCAAAGTTTCTTTCGGAAAACAAATAAATGTCTAGGAATAAATAAACACGTTGATCGAAGAAACATTAATAAGTTCCTGTATAAGAGGATACGAAACAGTAACAAACATAATAATTATTTTTTAAGTATTCAAGTCAGAAATGTGAGGATGATATTATAATATATCGTTTGTATAGTGAATAATGGTTCGCCCATCGTGCTTCAAGTGGATGTTATCATTCAGCATGGGGTTTAACTTGGTTCGTAATAGAATCGGAGTTTTTTTCAATGTGCGATAGGAATTTTTATTTATAGATTTTGTTAATTTACATTATAATATATTTAGATCGATGTTTGTCAAGGATGTGTAGACAATCCAATGATACAAATGAGTATAGAGAATAACACTTTTATTGAGATATTTTTACATGTGTAATAAATAATATAAAGAGCTCACTAAAAATTATATTTCATACATACTATTTGGTAATCTACATTGATTTGGTCCAATGTATACAATTTTGATTCTCTTTGTTGCAAATCTGAAATATTCTCCTTTTAATAAGAATTGCCGCAGTTGGAGTCATGGACTTGAACACTTCCCTATAATTTTTTCAGTTTGTGGAATTGATTGTTTACTTTCACTAATTCCATTAGAATTTTTACACCTCTATTGTCGTGCATAATGATTAGAGCAACGACGGTCTGATACATTGCTTGATGGTTATCTTGTTTGCAAGATGCAATAAGTAGTTGTAATCCTTTGTTTCTATCATGTTTTATGAAGAACAAATGCGTTCCAAGCAGTAGTGAAGCATGGTTATTTTCTACTTCTACAAGGATCTTCAAAATTGAAAGCCTTGCAATTTTTATTGCTGGTAGTTTGTGTCGTTGTTTGAAGATGTTTCTTCTATGTAAGACTTGCTTTACATTTGATTGTTGGTTTAGAGACTTGCACCTGTAATTTGTAAGTTAAATAATGGTTTTCAAACACAAGATCCACAAAATAAAATAAAAAGTGTTTTCCAAACACAAGATCCACAAAAAAAAAAAAAAAAGGTGTATATAATAGTTTCAAACAGTTGATAATTATAATATCATTACTTGTATGATGAAGAAGTTAACAATAAAAAAGTGTGAAAAATATGGTTCATTTAAATATCCATTCTAACATGTATTTTGGTTTTTATATATTAGAAAGTTGTTAACAATTAAAGACACAAGTGATTCAGCATAATCCATTTCAATTGTTGGGAGTCGACATACAGTTTTCTATATGACTAACAAAACAATGAAATTAACAGATTAACAAAACATGATGATATTATTAAAACTTACGTTAATCGTATTGCTTGATGAGTGGTGTTGTTATTTTGAATTGCTTTTGCAATGATTCGTTGCAATATTTGTGATGGTAATTGTAACAAGTTTGTGGGTTGTGTTTTTGTTCTTTGGTAAGGAATCATGTTGTTTTGGCGGTGTTTTTTCTGGTTTAAGTATATTGAAATTATAAAGTTGTTATGGTGTTAGTGGTTTATATAATTTTTGTGTAGATATTGGATAGCAAACAATTTTCTGTGCGTTTGGATTTGGTAGATATTATCGCGTTAATTATTAATGAGAATTAGCATTGTTATTTTTGAAACTCGTTTTTAGTATTTTTCTAAATTAATGATGGTATTTTTATTTCGTTGAACATTAATTATTCGATTTTGTTATACACTATATATCAGATATCGTTCTTTCATTGTTTATTCTATCAAGAAAAATTGATTGTTTTATTCAACGAATATAAACTTTTTTGTTCATAATCATTTAATGTCAAGTATTAATTTATCTTAAGTGTAAACAGTTTGCATTCATCTATATCTCTACATAGGTATATTAAGTATTTGATACATTTGATTAATACGAATCTTTTTAAATGCATATAACTTAATGTATTGGATGATATTTTTTTCATCAATTATGTGCCTATCTTATGCAGGTGTCTGATGCTCCGAAAGTTCTATGAGATAATTGGGCAACTGGTCAAGTGAAAGAGGGTGCCTCTGCTGTAAGAAGATGGGAGGATCTGGACACTAACTTATTGGTAAAAATCTTCCTGTGTTTTGATGTTTTGTAGTTGACTTCAGGCATTGCTCATGTTTGTAATTTATGGCATTCAGCTTGTCATGATCCTCTACTTTGGAAAACTCTTGATTTGTCAATATTTAGATCAAATTTTATCAAAATCCCGTTAGAGCCATATGTTTACGTGGATGAGTGTTCTAATAAGGCATTGACTCGTTTGTTGAAAATTTCGTTGAGACTAAGTCGAGGACAGATAAGAACCTTGATTTTTCACTTCAATTTGTATGCAGGAGATGAACAATTTACTTATATTGCTGAAAGGTTTTTTTTTTTATGTTTCTGTTTAAAACCTTGTTGAAAGGTAATTTTGTTTTTTTATTCTCGCTATTTATTGACTGAGTCTTTGGCCTTGCCTTTGGTACCAGTGATCATCACCTTTAATTTTCTTTTGGGTAAAGTGAATTGAGAAGTAACACACCATATATTGTTGTCAGCAGGTACCCCCATCTGAGGCATCTCGTTATGCCAGCTTGGAATAGAATAAAGAAGGATGTAATTTGTAAGGTCATTCTTACACGGAGATCTCTCGAATCCCTGATAATGCCTAGTATAGTAAATCCACCTTATCTTATAGAGGAAATAGCTGTAAATTGAAAGAACTTCAATGAACTCAAGATCATGGGTCCTTTTGATGTTCTTTTTGCTTCTACGATAGTCAAATTTCTTCCAAATTTGAAGGTTTTGAGCTTGAGATGCTCATTGATAGTTAAGGATGGCCTATTGCTTATATTGGATGACCTACCAAATCTGGAAGTTCTCAACATCTCGCATAGTCTTCTTATAGAAGGTCCACTTCTTTCTCCTGTGATGCCCGAAAAAATTATTAAGAAGCCAGATAAAATTATTTTGGAAAAGGTTGCTCGATTACGTGACTTCTTAACATGTATTGAGCACTCGTGCATCATGTGCCAGCTTACTCAAAGTGATGAAGGCTTTATGAGATGGTACAAGTATGAAGAAGGTCTATGGAAAATGGATGAGGCAAGGTCTCTTGCTCTTTGATTAGGACGCTGTAGAGACTGTAATTTTAATATTTTGTTTTGCTTGTATGTAATATATAGATAATATGTTGTTAAATAAGCATATATAGAATTGGTCTATTGTATTTTAGGTTATCATGCTCTTAAGGCTTTCATTTTAGGTCATCAACATTGTAATACTTGCATGATGATCTTCTCCTATGGGAAAAGTATTATCTGTCTGTATAATTATGTACACATGTTAAAATTTTACTTTCTCTTGTTTCAAATTTATCTTTCGTTATTCATTAATGTTATTTCAAAATGAAGTGGTTTCAAACTAATACGCAATTGAGTATTTTATATATTTCAATTTATGTTATTTATTTTGTAATTGTTATTGTGAAATTCATTTCTATTGTCAGGTTTAGTATTTGATAGTGAGATTTTGAAGGAATCTTTGAGTCTCGCTTCTTTTGTACTTTGATGATAAGTTATAGTGACATTGTTCGGCTGAAGTGGTAATATTAAAGTTTTACTGTGCGCTATCATTTTGGCTTTGTAAAATTCGTAAATGATGAAAAATGTTGTCATTTAAAATGTTGTTGATACTTAAAGAAAACATGCAAAATTAATAGGTCATATAATTTTTATACTTTTATTGTCGTGCATAGTGATTAGAGCAATTACAGTTTGATACATTGCTTGCAAGTCATCTTGTTTGCAAGCTGCAATGAGTAGTTGTAATCCTCTATTTCTATCATGTTCCACGAAGAATAAATGTGTTCCAAACAGTAGCGAAGCAAGCTTATTATCTGCTTCTGCAAGGATCTTCAAAATGGAAAGACCTGCTGTTGTTATTGCTGGTAGTTTGTATCGTTGTTTGAAGATGTTTCTTCTATGTAAGACTTCCTTTATGTTTGTTTGGTCATTTAGAGATTTCCATTTGTAATTTGTAAGGTAAATAATGGTTTTCAAACACAAGATCCACAATAATAATAATAATAATAAAGGTGTTTTCCAAACAGAAGATCCACAAAAAAAAAAAAAAAATAAAAAAAAAAAGTTGTAAATAATTGTTTCAAAAGTTGGTAATTATAATATCATTACCTGTAGGATCAAGAAATTAACAATTAAAATTTTTTAAGAAAATTGTAATAGAAAACTATTAAGAACTAAAGACACAAGTGATTCAGCATAATCGATTTCAATTATTGGAAGTTGAAATATGGTTTTCTCTATGACTAAGGAAATAATGAAATGAACAAATTAACGAAATGCGATGATATTAGTAAAATTTATGTCAACCGTATTGCTTGAAGGGTGGTGTTGTTATTCTGAGTTGCTTTTGTAATGATTTGTTGCACAATTTGAGATGGTAATTGTAATAGATTTGTGAGTTGTGTTTTCATTCTTTTTGTAAGGAATCATGATGTTTTGGCAGTGTTTTTTTTTTTCGATGTAAGTATATGGAATTTATGATTATTACGGTCTTAGTGGTTTATATAATTTTTGTGTGGGTACTGGATAGCGAATCGTTTTCTGCGTGTTTGGATTTGGTAGATATTATTGTGTTAATTATTAATTTTGAATATGTTTTATTTTTTAACATTTTTATAAACAGTTTTGCCTAATATTGTTATTAAATATCTATTAAAATATTAAATATTGTTTATGTTTTTTCTAGTATTTTAGTCTTCTAATTAAAATTTTGTTACTTCACATTAGAATATATATTAACTTGTTTTATCTAAATAGAAAAAGAAAATAAACGGAGGCAATAAATTTGAACTCATGTTTTATGCAAGAATTTTTGTTACAATCTAACAGTTGCTCCGGGAAAATTAATAGACATTTAATAAAAGACAGACACGTTGATTGAAAAAGTGTTGACAACTTATTGGACGATGAGACACGAAACAGTAGCAAATCGTTTGTAACGCATGAAAGGAAAGTGTAATCAGTAGTATTTTTGTAAATTAATGATGGTATTTCTATTTTGTTGAACATTGATTATTTGGTTTTGTTATGTATATCAGAGTTGTTTCATTGTTGTTTCTATCGAGAAAAATTGATTATTGTATTCAATGATTATAGACTTTTTTAGCCATAATCATTTAAACGGTTTGCATTCATCTATATCTCTATGCAAGTATATTAAGTTTTTGATACATTCGATTAGTATGAATCTTTTTAAAATTTATATAAGTTAATGTATTGCTTGATATTTTATGCATTGCACATGCATTATGTGGATATCTTATGCAGGTGCGCTGATGCTCTGAAATTTTTATGAGATAATTGGACAACTGGTCAAATGAAAGAGGGTGTCTCTGCTGTAAGAAGATGGGTGGAGTTGGACACTGACATATTGGTGAAAATCTTCCTGTCTTTTGATATCTTCCAGTTGACTTCAGGGATTGCTCACATTTGTAATTCATGGCGTTCAGCTTGTTGTGATCCTCTACTTTGGAATACTCTTAATTTGTCAATGTTGAGATCAAATTTCATCAAAATCCTATTCGAACCATATGTTTACGTGGATGAGTGTTCTGATAAGACATTGACTCGTTTGTTGAAGATCTAGAAAAACGTATAAAGATGGAAATTAGTCTGTTTTCAAACCTTAGCTTGGAAAGAATCCTATACTATGAGAAAAATCGTCAATATCAAACTTGAAAATGAATTTAATATAAATTTTAAGTTCAAATAATTAATCTCCATAATATTAATTGATATTAATAATTATAAAGGTACAATTATTAATTTCTGTACATATATAAAAGTTATATTTACTCTAAAACTTGTACATATATAGAAGTTATTTTTACAACCTATTCCAAAAATATTAAATAAACATACCCGCGCAATGCACAGGCCCCATCGAATCAACATCTCATGCCGATCGATCGACAGAATGGACGCAATGGAAAAACGACTCTACAAACGGAATAACAAACGCATATCCTCATCCCCTTGAAAACAAACACAATAAAATGTAATTGATCTTCATGTCAACATCGTTAACAAACAATTATCCATTCATATAAAAACTGGTGCCTAGAAACGGAAACAACAAAAGTTAATTAATCTTCATATTAAAATTATCAAGGAACAAACTGACTGTTCGAAAGAAATACAATTAATCATTCAAATAAAATGACCGAACAAAAACAATCATTCAATCTAACAATTAACAAAAGACCAGACATATTGTTGACACCAATCAACAAATTGCGATGATCCATAACTGAACATGCGCCCCTTTTATAACCCCTTATTTACACATTCCGAATACCAACGCAATTAGATACTAATTCAATACAAAGAGAGTTTTCCAATGTCAATACAATGCAATAAGTAATAGCAATCCAATACACCTGTATACTTGTTATTAATTCACATATTTGGAATGTCAATGCAATGCACCTGTATTATCATTATTAGTATTATTATTAATTATTAATTATAGATGATGCAATAAATACCAACCCAGCATGTCAAGATAGAGCAATTTGAATGTCCAATGTGTCAAAATTGAGCAATTCTAGATCTTCCAAAATGTGCCACATTGCAAACAATCTGCATGGGTATTCATGGCGAACAACCAGCATGGGTATTCATGAATCTTGATTTTTCACTTCAATTTGTATGTAGGGGACGAACAATTTATTTATACTGCTGAAAGGTAATGTTTTTTATGTTTATGTTTAAAACCTTGTTGAAAGGTAATTTTTTTTATTCTCTCTGTTTATTGACAGAGTCTTTTCGATTGTCTTTGGTACCAGTGATCATCATCTTTAATTTTTTTTTTTTTTTTTCACAATGAACTGGGAAGTAATCTACCATATATTGTTGTCTGCAGATGCTCATGGCTGAGGCGCCTTGTTATGCCAGCTTGGAACAGAATAAAAAAGGACATAATCTGCAAGGCCATTCGTACATGGAGATGTCTTGAATCTCTGACAATGCCTAGTATAGCAAATCCCCCTTCTCTTATAGAGGAAATGGCCATAAATTGCAAGAACTTCAGTAAACTGGAGGTCATGGGTCCTTTTAACGTTCTCTTTGCTTCTACGATAGCCAGATTTCTTCCAAATTTGAAGGTTTTGAGCTTGAGATGTTCAATGATATTTAAGGATGCCCTGTTGCTTATATTGGATGGCATACCAAACCTGGAAATCCTCAACATATCACAATGTCTTCTTATAGAAGGTCCACTACTTCCTCCACCGTTGCCCAAAAAAATTATTAAGAAGTTAGATAAAATTATCTTGCAAAAGACTGCTCGATTACGTCAGTTCTTTGTAAGTAATTGATCTACATATGCAGCGAAAAACAAAAATTCAATTGGTAAATCAATTACCTTTTTTTGCCAAGATTCGAGTATAGATTATACCATTTGCATGTTTATAAACAAAAATCTGTATAAATTAAATCCATTCAAGGATTAGGATACTTACATACGTTTGGAGGCTATTTTAAATATCTTTGATTTCGAACAGGAACACTGTTCACATACTGTTCATGATTACTATTCACCATCCACTGTTCACCGTCTACTATACACGTGATTTTTGACAATCGTCCAAAGTAGGATCGCACTCATGGAAGTCCACACGAAGATAATCTGCAGAACCCTTGATTATTTTGCTAGAACAATCAAGGGGCTTCAAGAATCAAGAAAGAAGAACAAGAAAAGTTTTCTTCTTAAGAGAGAGAGAGAGAGGGTGGCTAGGGTTTTAATTCAATAAATAATTCTCTTATGTTTTAATTTTAAGTTGCACTTATATAGTGCAACAATTAAAACCGTATTCCACTTAGGAATAGCCATGGGCTCCAACCCTAGTTCACCCTTGCAACCAAACACACCCTTTATGGCATTTTAATTAATTTATTATTATTATAATTAAAATCAATTAATATATAATAATATATTAACATTTAATTAATAATAATAATTCATTTAAATATATACAGAGATATATTTAGATATAATCTCACTAATTTAATTTTAATATTAAAATTAAATACAGGCAATAA